TAGGGATAAACTTATTGCCCATTCTCTCTTTGCAAAATAACTTAAGTCCTGTCAGGTTGATGATATATTGTGTGTGTGCGTTTTCTCATTGTTACATGAGCGAGGATTTCCAACCATGTTGCGATTCATTGTAAATCTCACAGCTCTGCCTTCTTTAATGTGTCATTACAAGTTGCTTTATGACAGGTGAAAGTACACTGCCCTTCCAAACACACGCACGCGCACACCCACGCAGACACGCACACAGAAGCAACAGGTGGAACAGGTAAAAGGCCCTTCAGGCTGTGGTTGAATACACAACAGTCAGCGAGCGAGAGGCTCTGGACGACACAGAGCGGTAAAGCTGAAATTGAGACGGAGAGAAGAGAGACCGGTTCTTCCAAGTGCATTTAAATAAAATGAGTAACAATAGTTGACCTTTAAGTTGGTCATTTTGTTATTCGAGCCTGGAACTGCTGCGACATTTGTGATACCGGTTCCACTTGCATAAAAGCTGCAGGGGGCTGAATAAGTGGGAGTTAAAATGGAAAGTGTCGGTGAGGTGGAATGAAAAGCGGAAGACGACAAATCGTTACAAAACACACTCCAAAAACGCCGCCACGGATGCTGAGCATATTGGCAGAAACAAACACACCTACTAATTAACACAGGAGAAAAACAAAAGGTACAATCACCTGGTTGCATAAGTGTGCACACCTTCGAACTAATGTTTTGTTGAAGCAAACTTTTAATGAAGTTTCAGTACACACCTCACATCGGCGATGGCGAATCTGATCATCGTGAAATTGAGTTTACTTCCTCCGCCGTTAGCTAGAATGATAGTTGCCGACATTTTACAAAAGATCCGATTGGCCAAAGGACTCAGTCAGGAAAAGGATGCATATCTGCATTCCACAGCGCAACAGAAACATTAACTGATGGACATTATAAAGAAAAATAATTTACGATAGTGACATTGCTAAATCTGTCTGGTCTGCCGATGTTATTAAAAAAGGAGAGATGCAAACTGGGCAGGCAGGCGGCCACAAGACAGAGTTGGAGGAATTTTCTGACATTACAAACCGTGCCCCAGATGTAACAACAATCTTATATATGCTCATTGTGTTTAGATCAAGAAAGCCTTAGAAAAACATAGTCTTGCCTTCCCAAGAAATTAGCTTTTTTAGAATGATATGTTTCAGAATAGCCTAGCTAGAAGAGAATGAGGGTTGAGGGCAAGAATTGTCCTCATATTATAATAAAGTTTGACAGGATTTGCGAAACAAAGGCATCAGACGTTCTTCAGTCAAAACCTGGCCTCCTGAAAACACCTACCAAAGTCGAACAAATATTAAAAGGAAATCCAAGAGGTGACTCGCCAACAACTAGTTTAAGTGTGTACTCATTCATGGAACTTGGTAATATTATCTTGAAAAGTGAGACAAGTGATTAACCTCAGGGCAATTAATCGTTGACAATGTTGCTTTTGGAGCTTTAAAGTAAACTCAGGACTTTATCGGCCTTATTGAAGCTCCTAATTACATCTGATCCTGATCAGACAAAATGTTATGTACCTTTGATCTTATTTTGCTAAAAGTTCATTGCTAATTGCTTTGTAAGCTTTTGATCCTACTTAACTATTGCACCCCTGGAATCTTAAATAAACCTTTCTTACGTCCCAGTTGGTTAAATGCAACATCAAGGCAAAACATGTTTGGCCCGCGTGTTGTTTCCAGAGCTCTCCTTGCTTGAGCGGTGACCGTTTAACCCAACAGGCGTTCAACTTTGGCCCCAGGAAGGCGGAATAAAAGATTAGAGCACCGCTCGTAGTTGCTTTTATTACTCCCCTTTCCCATGATTCTCCTCAGTTTGTGCCTATTTCCTGTCTCCCCTCCTTCCGTGTCTTGATATCTTTCTGGAAGGTAGCGAGTCTGTCTCCTTGCTGTCGTCGGACTCTCTTTTTCTCCCCGCTCTAATCATTTTGTTGCTTTTTCATGCCATGCTCGGCGGCATATTTATCCAAGATAACAACTGGGTTTCCCCTCTCTTTGCGGGTGATGGAGAATAATTGCTGTTGGTGTTTGTGTTTGCCTGTGTGTGTCCCCATATTCTGCTAAACAAATTGTTCCTGCCTGGCTGTTCTGATGTTTTGACAGGAATGTTGGCTTATACTTACACATACTCACACACACATGCACACACACTTCCCCACGCAGACATGTAATGAAAAACAAAGAGTAACAACGGGTATTTATGGAATCATGTGTCATACATGTCTGAATAAAAAGAACACATTTAAATGGAAAAAAAGTAAGCATTTACACCATAATGTATTCAGGAAATGATTAAGGTTCAACCGCACCGTCACATGCGCCAACATTCTCCATTGATGTTTAGCTAGCTAGGTAAAACTAGCTAAACGTAAGCTAGTAAACGTAAGCTAGTAAACACTCATCCAAAACATCCTTTTAGCAGCAAACTATTAAGCATCTGAGTGAAATGTAACATTTTTAGCTTTTGTGTTTTCTGCTAAAAGTAGCAACTTTTAGTCCTCTTGTCTGAAAGCATTAACTTCTCACATTCCCAACTGAAACGACTAGCTTGTAAGCTAGCAGTTGCCGATTCAGCCTCGCCAGCTAACAGTAGCGGCTTTTACAATTTCGAATGAAAGCAGAAACTTTCAGGCTTTTGTCGTAAGTTTCAAAGTTTGTCTTTTTTTATTATTGAACATAGACCTCAGTTACAAAGCAGAACCTTTTGTCAAAATTAATGAGTGAATCACGCTTTGTGTAATAGAAAAGCATCGCAAAAGCAACAAAAAATTATTATTTATTTATTTATTTATTTATTTTTTACAATTTTTGCTTTATTTGACCTAAAATAGCAAGTTTTAGTAAAGGAAAAACAATTGCAACCTATTAGCATTTTTAAATGAAATTAGCACCTTGTGAAATTGTAGATAGAACTAGCCAAGCAGTTAAGCTGACAACATATTTGTTTTTAGCTATGAAAGTTGAGCTATAGCAAACTGTAGCTTTCTATTTTACTACTTTCAGCAGTGTGGTCGTTACATTTTTTTTCATTGTGACAAAAAGATTTCAGATGACAGATATAAAGTAGTTTTAGAAAAAAAGTTCACAAAACTTTAAATGCAAATAAATAAATAAAAAAAAACAAAGTGGCGAATGCTTGCATGCTAACATCTCTGTCTGGGCTGAAGAGGGTTGTTTTTGTACGCTTGTCGGTTCACAGCTGTAATCTCAGGTAATTGTGTTTGGAAAATGTCAGCTGGAAGACTTCCTCTTTTTTTTCCAGAAAGAGAGTCACAAAAGAGAAACCCGAGCCTTGGGGGACTCTTTATCTGTCTGCCCATTTACTTGCCAAGTTGTTTTTCTTTTTTAACACAAGTTTGATAAAGGCCTTTGATGAGACAAGACGGATGATTGTTGTCTCCATTAACGTCACATTTTAAAGACTAAATGGTAACTGTTTATGTTTCTCTATAAGAGACCAGGAATGTAATTTCCTTTCTTTTCTTTTTCTTTCTTTTTGTTATTTTTTTTTTTTTTAGCATAGGACCACACTAAATCTACACAAAGTTTGCCTTGCTGCTGTGTGGATGCAGTTGGCGTTTTTGGGCAAAAGGCCAAGAGTGGCTGCATCATCTGCATCCTTACACCCGTCCGAAGGTGACTGCGGAGTGAAAGTACAGGAAGCGAGTGTGGAGTTTTTCCTCAGGAAGCGGAGTCCATTTCCACTTGGCTCGCAGGCTGAACCGGGAATTTGGTTTTGCGTAAGCACGGCGGGCCCAAAAATAACAGCGTATAAAGGCAGGGAGCCGCAGGAGGCTGCTGCTCACACACAGGCCCCTCAGGAAGGACGGCCAGAGCGGCTGGTTGACCGGCTCTGCTGCACTTTGTGGCATACGCTTTGAAAACTTGAAGCCAACTTATAGGACACTGAACTTGGGGTAGAAGTTTCATGTTTAACATTAGGGTGTAAAAAAAAAAAAGATTTCTTGAACGAGATAATGCTACTACTGCTTTAATTTTGAGAGAAATATTTCGAAATGAAAATGTTTTCTTTGACCACAGCAATCACAAAACTATCTATATTTATATCGTTAAAAAAAAAAAGTATTTTTTTTTTTTTTTTTGTTTGTGTTTATCTCATCTCTGTCTGTTTCCTATTCTTCACACTCATGCATTACCAAAGGAGTGAACGACCTTAGGGTGCCTGTGGCGGCGGTTTCGGTTTGTGGGGTTGTGGGGGTCGTTAAGGAAACCTGTCGGCCCGTCCTTTGTTTAACTCCCGGACTAACAGGTTGTATCGATGGGGGCCCCTCCGCTTCACGCGTTTGTGTTTGACAAAAAGATGATTTGAGGATGAATAAACGACGCGTTTCGATTTGAAGAGGCTGAGTGGAGGGGCTTTTAGACTGCTTCATAGAGCGTTGTTCCTGCTGACCTGCACCAAAAAACAAAACAAAAAATGAAGAAATAAATAAAAGAAATCATGCCGCCTGTAAAAAGACCTTTTTTTTTCTTTCTTTCTTTTTTTTTGTTTTTTTTGTTAAAGTTTTAAAATACACGAATAAAACGGTTCATTTGCGCTGTACGTTTTTGTTCACAATGTAAGTGACCTGGATTTTAATGTTTGCGTTTCGGGTTTGGAGTCGCCCTCTCGCTCCTGCCTCTAGGAAAATGTCAGGTTTCATGTGAATGAAACTAATATGCATGTGCCAAAGCCTTCGGGGACTTTTTTTTTTTTTTGCCACAAAAATTTAACTTAATTCAGTTCAAGTCCTATTCCTCTCATTTAAACTTATGCTCATCCAAACTACAGGTTATTTCTCTTTAAAGTCTTTTGGCACTTTGATGTGACCTGCTCAAGAAATTCCATCTTTTTCTCTTTTTTTTTTGTAACTCGACGGGGGAAGGTCGTGCATGCATAAGTTACATGTGCGCGCGATTACTGCTGCCGAGGCCACGCCTCCCACTCGGAGGTATAAAAAGTCCGTCTGGCGACGTTGATGCTCACATCCTGAATCCTGGAGCGCGCCCGAGCTGCCTGTGCGAACCAGAACGTGCGCCGTGCGTGCACAGATACGTCAAACTCTTAACGTTGCCTTGATTGTTAAATATATATATTTATTTATATATATACATATATAGAGAGAGAGACTTTCAGCATGGCTGTGGCTGAGGCACTGATGCCCGCCTTGACGTCGTTTCCCAATTTCAAAGCGATGGATAACGTAAGTAGAATATATGTTTTTACTTTTTCTTTTTTTTTTTTTAAATCTTTTAAACTTGGTTGATCACAAGCGTAGCATGTTCTTGTGGGGGTTTTTTCTGACGCGAGCTTCGTTTATTTATTTATTTTATTGCGTTTATTTGCAGCTGTGCAACATGGATGAGTGGGTGAGGAGCGGCGCGACAGGTGGCACGGGCAGCGCGCGCATCGAGGTCGACCTGAGCATCGTCCACTCTCCGTCTGCAGCCCACAAAGACGACGACGAGCTCGGGAAGTTTCTGGACCTCGAGTTCATCCTGTCGAACACCATCTGCGCCGACTCTACTGCAGGGAACAGCGACAGGGGGAGCGCGTCTCCCACGCAGCAGCAGTGCGGGTACTCTTTGCCGGAGTCGCCGGAAAGCTGCGGCGGCGGTTCCCTGCCAGACTGCACCGACCACCCGCCTTCTCACCTGGCTCGTGGCTACCCGGGCGTCGTCGGCGGCTTCGCGGAGTCGAGCCCTGTCCGCAGCCTGATGGCGGAACTTCTTACGCCCGACATGAGTTATCCAGAGGAAGGCGCTCCGGAGAGCGCGAGGAAGGCGAGGGACAGCTGCGAGTACACCGAGCTGCGGGCTTTGAGCGGCCCTGCGCTCCCCCACGCGGCGTCACCTCCGTCCCCGCTTGGATACAAAATAAAAACCGAGCCCGGGGTGCAGTCGTGCATGATAGCTGCTGCCGGAGCCTTCGCGGAAGGAGCGTATGAAAAGCACCAGATGCGCACCGCCGCGGCTTTTACGCACCACCAGCCTCCCGGTGCGGCGCCGGGCTTCGGCGCGCACCAGATCCAACTTCAGGGACGCACAGACAGCACGCTGCAGTCGCAAATGAGGCCCCACCACCACCACCATCTTCATCATCACGATCATGATCAAAACCAGCTGTCAGGCCAGTACGTGAACGCGCCGTACCACCCGCATTACGCACACCGAGGTGCGCCACAGTTCCAGGGACAGTACAGCATGCATCCCCAGCAGCACCATCCCGCCGCCTCGCTGCAGGGGATGATGCTCACTCCGCCCTCGTCGCCTCTGCTGGACTTTTACGCGCACGACGAGGTCGGCTGCGTGAAGCAGAAGCGAGGGCGAAAGTCTTGGACCAGGAAACGCGCCGCCACGCACAACTGCGAGTTCCCCGGCTGCGGGAAGACCTACACCAAGAGCTCCCATCTCAAGGCGCACATGAGGACGCACACAGGTGAGCTAATCTTCGTTTCATCGGGTGTTGTTGTTGTTTTGTCGTTTGTGCGGCGCCCGAACTTCTAATGTTTCCCACAAGGTGGTGCTGCGCTGCAAATCCTAACTTCCGTTTGGCTTTTCTGTTCGCCAGGTGAGAAGCCTTACCACTGCAACTGGGAAGGCTGCGGCTGGAAGTTCGCCCGATCCGACGAGCTGACTCGGCACTTCCGGAAGCACACCGGGCACAGGCCGTTTCAGTGTCACCTGTGCGAGCGTGCGTTCTCTCGCTCGGACCACCTGGCTCTCCACATGAAAAGGCACATGTAGGTCACTCCCAGCTTGCAGACTCTCTTTCTGGACCCCTCCATCACCCCCGGTCTCCCCCTCCGGGGCATCACTGTCAGCATCTCCAGAGACGCAGCACAACAGGTGGACAACTTCTAACCGGACTGCTGTGTATGAAGGAAATGAAGCATTCACACACAGGAGCGTGCCCAATGCAGTCACTATGTGCTTTATGAGAAGATACAACGTGGGAAATGGTGGAGATTTTATATTTTTTATGTTTTGTTTTTTTTTTACTTTCTTTTTTACTTTCTACAAGTGCCTCATTTCTACCATATCAAGTGCCTCTGGTGGTTTATGTATATTTTTGTAAAAGAAAAACCCTAAATAAAATATGACAAACACTGGCTAAGTTATAGTAGTTTAGTATTTAACTAATTTCTTCCATCTGCCTTTGTTGTAAGTTATTGATAAGTTGGTGAGTGCCTTAGCCAGACTGCTTTATTCGCTCACTGTGGGCCGGACCCAGGATTGTATAGAAGTGTACATATACTTCTATATGTTATTTCTCTCATTTTTACGTTGTTTTTTTTTTTCTAAGAATAAGGTAAAAATCAGGTCAAAGTTGCCATATTTTTCCTGAACACAGCAGATGTCGTGGCCTTGCTTTGCATTGAGGGATCAGCCTGCGTTTCACTTTCAGTCTTATTATTATTATTATTATTTTGCTCATCCAAGCAAAATGAGCAAATTCAGGTACTGTACTGTTTTTTTACAGCGCTAACAGACATGGCTTCCTTCAGCTCTCCCACACATGGCTCATTTGGCGGGACAACGGTCAGGAACAAATGAGTGAATGAATGAATGAATGAGGAGCGAATGAATGAATGTTGAGCGAGTGCGTCTAAGAATGAAGTATCCACTGTAACCACTGGTTAAACGGCTTTTACTTGAAACTAAGATGTAAGCTTGCATATGTACTGCTGATGGAATGCAAATGTTTTTCTATGTGCTCAAGGGCTCGTAATAAAAAAAAGTACTTTTACAATAAACACGCTCTCGTTTTTGCTCATTTCAAACTGTCACACCTGTTTATATCTTTACTTAAGCTTTTTTCTTTATCTGCTCCTTTTGAAAACTCCATTATAATTAAAGATAATTAACTGTCATGTCACTGAGTCAAGCTAAGGTTTGAGAACCTTACATTAGCCACAGTGTAAAATGGTTAAACTGCTCTAAAATATATCACAACTTTTATTGTTAAGTTTCATTGTACTTGTACCGTGGTTCTCAAACTGTGGAGCAAGGACCACTGGTGGTACGTAGGCTGCTTTCCATGACTCTCCCATGAAGTGGCTCAGTCAGCCATTTTCATGCTAACAAGAAGCAGATTAGCTGTAGTCCAGAACAAAGAACCAAAACAGACTTCAGCAGAACTTGACTTTTGGAAGAACACCAAACCCGACTCTACAGTGTCCTAACGGAGAACTTGACATGGGGAGATGTTGCACTCAGTGACCAAGAAAACCTGTGTACTGGTACAAAGTGATAACAATGAGTTTTATTTTATACGTACCGAAAATAATGAGACATGTTCACTAGTAGTAATATTTAAAGCGATACAAACTGAGAGAAGCTTCCCCTATGTCCTAAGCACACAGCAGTTATAGTGGGTTTTGAAGATGGAATTGGTTGGATTTGTAATTTCAGGATTTTGTTATTAATTCATTTTACCAACTAGAAAGTTAGAGATTTCTTTTAGTCTGAACGGGCTTTTATTTAACAGTAATTGGTCTGGGAGTCGAGTAGAGCGCGCTCTACCAACTTGCAGATTTTAACATCATCAGTAGCAACTGGTCGCATTTTTCTTCTGTCTTCATTTGGGACGAAAGACATCAAGCGTACAACGTCCAGCTCTTGTCGGTGCACTGCTTGAACATGTGCTGAAAGTAACTGGAAAATATTTCATGTGCCTTGCCTGGAAGAACTGCAGCTGGTGAGTTGGCCAGGATGCCCTTTAAATTTCACATCGTTGCTTGTGCAATACTGCTCCCTAGTGGTCATGTAGTTGCGTTGTTCAGGGCAGTGGTGAAAAAATGAGTTCTACTCACTGAAAAGTAACACTAGACTCAATACAGACTCTGAACAGTCATAAAAAAAAAAAGAAAAACAAAAAAAAAAATTATTGACCAGTGTAACTTAGATTGTAGGATATTTCAGGACACGAGCCTTTATTTTCACGTTTTTCTATTGCATGTTTTCTTTTTTTTTTTTTTCCCAGGTCAGAGGTTGGTGATAATGCATACTTCTCTTTATTAACCACATTTCTTCATAATCATTTCTTTTGAATTGGTCAGATGTAATTATCCAGTGCTAAATTTCATGTTTTCATTAACTATAAACAGAAAACAAAAAAATCACCATTAATAGAGATAAAGGCTTGAGTACATGAGTATGTGCATATTCAAAGTATAAAACATGATTTACTGAGTACATTAACTGATACACGTGAATTTTTGAACAACATTGTCCAAACGAAATATTTACCTATACTAGAAAAACCTATTATGAACATAAATCAGGAATATTTTTTAAATTTATTTGGAATGACAAGCAGCATCTAATAAGAAAATGGATATTTGTAATTCTCAGGTGTTTTATTTCATATTTTGTAGTACAATTTTTTGGGGTTTGGTTACGAAATGTCACATTTTTTTAATATTTAAGAGCAATTCAAGTGCAGCAGGTGAACAAAGATCCCATTTTCACTTTCACAAGTTTGAAGTCCCACATCAGGCCCTATCCCTTGTTTTGGAGCGCTGCATCTTGATTATTAGCAAATTCATCTTAATTGTTTGTATTTCAACAGGGACTTCTGCAGTGACGTCTCCTTTCACCCTAGCAGCTGCAACAAGGTCAAGGGTCGAGATCAGCTGCATTTCTCTCAGGGAAAAAACAACAAAACAAACATCGACAGACAGGCGGCATCCTTGGAGTGGAATACTTAGTTTGTCCACTAGATGTCCCTCTTGATTTATTTCCCGCCGCTGCAGCTTCTGTTGTCAACTTCCTTGACAGCTTAATTAACGAGACAATCAAAATTGCAAGCCCTCTAGTTTTTGTGCTAAAATTTGACTGGCGTACACGGGAGGCCCACGAGGGACTAAGAACTTTAGCAGCCGTTTTCTTCATATAGGTTTCCTGGCGAAAATAAAGGTCAGCCTTCAGTGAACGCATGGTGTGCACACACATTTTAGGAACTAGCTGTTGCATGACGCAAGAAACAGCCCCCCAATAAGGTAGCTCACCCAAAACAGAACTGAACGGAACCAGGCGCGGTGGCTCCATACCTCCAACTTAAAGCTAGAATTAGCCGTCCACCCGGCGGGGGACCAGCAACAAGTCTCTCCAGCTTTCCAACTGGAGTAGCCGCTCAACTCTACACAATTGACATATCAAAAGTCAGTAAATTCCATGTCTCTCCCAATGACAGGATGTTTAGTTGCTCTGCTTTCTCAGAATTTCAAATGCAGCACCGAAAGGATAGTCTGGCCCAGTGGCGATTTTAGCCCTGCACCCTTTCCGTAAAAAAAAAAAAAGAAAAAAAAAGGTTAAATGTCACGTTTCGTATTGAACCGATACATAAATGTCCGATAGGCACCCCTGTCACACACATATCAACACTAAATGACCCAAATAAAACACAGCAAATATCAAGGTCAGCTAAATTGTCGTGGCTGGAGCTAATCAGGACCCCCGGAACTCTACCGACCGACTTAGGCAACCGTTTCAGACGGACACGACGCAGCCCGGCGAGCTGCAATCAACGAGTTTTTAAATTACCACCGGATACTCCACCTCTTTAGAAGCAAAAGCTGGCTAAAATCCAGACGTGAGGAGGAAGACGCACATTCCAGGCTGAATGATGTCAGTGAAGATGGATAATGGACAAAAAGGTGTCCGCCGTGACGCAGTATGACAGACGGAATGGATCAGGAGAGGAACTGCAGACCCGTCAGAACCAGAGAACATTTTATGATTGATCAGCTTTTTTTAATTGAGCTTTTTGTGGACTATAATGGTTTGACTATTTGTTATAACGTTGAGTTTGGATGAAGTCGGGGGCCCAAAGGGGAACAAAAGAAATTATACAAAATTAATGCCTTTTGGTAATAGTCAGTGGTGATTTTTTAAAAATTTATTTTCACAATTTTACAAAAAACTATAGTAGGCCTACTGCACTTTTAGCTGCCATATTGAAATTGGATTAGGGCTGAAACGATTCCTCGAGTGATTCGAATACCTCCATTATTAAAATTCCTCGAGGAAAATTGATCTACTTCGAAGCTTCGTTAATTTATGTCTTATTATTTAATGCAATGTGTTCTGGCCGGGCGTTGCTTTGGTTGAGTAGCCCTCAGCTACCTGAGTTCACCTGAATATTAAGTGTCAACAAAATGTCACACCACTGAAGCCATGTTAGCACAAAATGTGCTCGCAAAGACGTAGTTCTGTTTCTCCAACTCTTTGCATTAAATCACCAGCTGAATATTTACAGTACGACGTCACTTCATTTATTACGATCACTTTTAGAGGAATCCGAAGAAAATCCTAAGAAATAAAAAAATAAATAATAATCAAAAAACCCTTAAAAATCATAATTTTTATAACTGTTTTTAATCAAACTGAATTTTGAAACAGGACTGTTTCAATATGCACATATACCTTATGCATATACCTCTGCATAAGGTATGTGCAAAGCTCTATACCTCATGGTATATGCAGAGCTCATGGTTTACCTGAGTGGTGATAATGCATTAGTATTCTGCAGATGTTCTCCAGTGAGTGCGTGTGCGCGCATGTGTTGTCAAGGAGGCGAAGCCATGTGGGTGCTTGTAGCTTTGTTTATCTAACCCTGTGGGCTTCTGGGTTTTGTCAACAGTCACCAGGTTAGAGGTCGTGCGCCTCATGTCGCGAGTCTGGGCGGAAACCAGCTGGTACCAGTGCAAGTGCTTGAATGCGGCCGGTTGTCGTACGCTGTACAGCTCCGCTGCAGCAGAACGAGACGTAAACATTCTTGGCTCACACATTTAAATATTTGAACAGGAAGCAGGAATTTCGATGGGGATTTCTCTCGGACAAGCTGCTCCCTGAAAACGTGGACGCCATCTGAGTGGGTCAGACAGAGGACGTGGGAAGACTTCTTCCAGTACCAGACACAGAAGGTGACTTTAAGTTGTCATTACGGAAGATTGCAGCCTGAGGTTGATTTCAGTTTCCGCATCCTCTAGATGGGCCACGTTTCACAGCGAGTACTGTGGGATCTCTCAATATGTGCATTACACATGCATGCATTGATGATATGGATACAACAGAAAATACACCTGTGTGTTTTCATTTTCAGGATGGAAATCATAATGATTTATTGTTACTATTATTATTTTCAATATATATTTTTGATCATGCAGCCTATTCACTTTTAACAGAGTGGAAAAGTGGGGAAAATAATTATTTTATTTTTTTCTCACTATATTTGTTTTTCTTGAGGCACAATTAATGTTTCACTCTGTCGTTATACAGTGTATCTGTGAATAAAGTAAAAAAAAAAAAAAAAACCCTAACACCACCCCACACGCCCAACAGATTTCTTGTGGCTTTGATGTGGAACAGTGATGTCACTCATCCTGTCTTCGACATCACTGGTGTCTGTCTCAATATTACCAGATTCCACAGAGAAATTTATTTGCAGTTTCAGGTTTGACCCACAGCAAATATGGCAGAAAAGAATTTCTTGTTAGTGAAAATGAACATTTTACAGAAGAGATGCGGGAAACTGGAGAAAGAAAACCAGGAGTTTCAACAGAGAGGAAAACCTTAGGATAAAAATTGAGCATCTCAACAGAAACAGGAACAATAATGTAAGAATCTGGCAAGCAGGAAATGAAATGTTTGTGAATGCAAAAGAGAATTATGAAAAACAGATTGGGGCTCTATGAATTGCAGGAAGCAAGAGCTTCGATTCAGACATCATTATGATGACGTCTCAAAGGTT